TGAGCAAAGCTGGTAAGGCAAGTGAAAAATTATTATGGAGTGATTTAATTTTGAATTCAGTACGTTTGGAAACATTGGTAGAATTTTGACTGATACCAGAGACTGACATTTTGATTTTAGCTTGTCGAATAAATTCTGCATAATAAAGTTTGATTGGCTTCTATTGTCCAGAATAGCCTTACAAATTGCTTGCTTCTGGTTTTTATCAAATACTTGGATAAAGGCGGTTGAGAGTAAAATAAAGGAATTGTGATTAACATTTGAGCAATGGAAGTTTTGGGAACTTGTTGAAGCATCATGCATGTTATTGTATTATTTTCGTTAGGTTGAGTGGTAGTAATATTGGTTGTGGAAGTCCTTGGATGTTTATTATTGGTGTGATTGCTAACAGGGCCTTGAGGGTTTGAGGGTTTTGATTGATGGGGCTGCATATGCAGAAGTGAATGATGATATACTGCTGATGAGAATACTCCCCACTCTTTACGACTAATATAGTCTAATTTTAATGTGAGTGAATAAATTCAAATGTTACACCACTGGTCTACGGGTTCGCCTAAATTTTGTAGCGAATTATAATTATTTTGGAAACCATCTAAAAGTTTCCTGAGGTTAATCTGAGAGTCTTCTTTGACTTGGTTTAAATCGAAAAGGCATTTTAAGTGGGAGAGTGTTATAAGCGTCTCATGTTTAATTTCAATTTTTTGAGTTTCATTAGGTTTGGCAGCTTTAGATTTAGCTGCTTTAAGCATTTTGGAGGCTTATAAGGTGTTACAAATAAACCTCGTTATTTGTACTTCAAGATATCTAGAACCTAGGGTCGTGGAATTCAAAAAATTAAGATAAAATATAGCCCCTTTATGTGCAAATGAAACCACTCAAAATCTAACAAACTATAATTTTACTTTGTTTACAATGTTATGTAGTAACATGTAGTAACAGTCAATGTTACTTTCTGTAAAATTTTACAGTTGAGAGCTTGGTTGTTCTGGTGAATCTGATACAGTGTACCGTTCCAATCAGGAGCTCTTCGTGTTGTTTCCTGTATCCAGGAAAGAGGATAGATTGCTGAGGTGACGTCACTCCAGCTGATCCAGACTCCAAACAGTGATCTTTATGTCGAGTAGGTAACCAGACAGGAAGAAGGCAGTATCAGGTTCACCAAGATTTGGAATATTAAATCCCTGAATTCTGTCAAAAAGCGAGTGTCTTGCAAAGAACAAAAAAATAATATAAAATTAGTTTATTATAAAACCATTGTTGTGCAGACACTTCCTTCCAACAGAATCAGGTATGAACAACTGTTGCAAATTGAAAAAAATATATATATTTTAATATAAAAAATACAATTAAATTATTGAAAAATAATCATAAAAATAGATTAAATTCAAATGCTCCCTACAGGTTAAGCAGAGTGCTGCTTTTTCGGCAGTGGCAATAACAGGCAAGATTATGGAAAAAATCAGATAGAAAATTAAGAAATTAAATCTTTAGATTCTCCCCCAAATAGACAAAATTTTCCTTTTAAATTAAGGTAGCTACTATAGATACTACCAGATAAACCTGACGGTGAAATCAATCAAATCCAGAATATGTCAAAATTCTTGAGATGTTTTAATTAAAACTTTTGAAATACATTTTTGACCTGTCTGGATTTCTATTTCTAAGAATAACACCCTTTAGAAGATGGAGTCAAACAGAAAATGGCTATACAGGCCTCTGCCTGGATTCAATAAGGAGTTGATAGGGATGGACACACAAATTTGATTTTCACCGACTCTATTTAGAGCAAATGGTCCAATATTCCCACACTAACAATTGATTCTGAAAACCAGAGCAGTAGTACCTATTTATTAGCCCAAAAGTCTGAATTGACTGACCTCGGAAAAACGTGGAACCACCGGCAATCGCACAAAATGGAGGGCCACAATTAGATAAAAAATTAAAATATAATATTTATATTTCAAGAATAGATAAGATAAGATTTATCAGGTAAAAACTTAACAATGATATGATAATATGCACTGATAGCAAAATATATTGAAAAACTTATAAGGGAGAATCTAAAAATGTGAAGGTAAAAGTATAAAAATAAAAATGACTCGCCTCCTACAGCACTGCCAGGAAACGGGAACGTTTTAGAAACCAAACCCCACAGAAAAACAATCCTTTGTTTTTTATACTTAACTGCGTTTTAACCAGTTCAACCAATCAGAAGAGTACACCCAAAAGACCATATCAACTTTACAATGACTTCACAATGAAAAACCACGTGGAATAAAGGAGAATAGATAAAAATCTACTAGAAATATTTTAATTGTTTACAGATTATAATAATTTAGATTAAGGTTATGTCAAAAACAAAAAACTGCTAATTGCTTAGTTCATTAGGCCAAAAAATGATTATTTTTAAATGACTATTTCACTAGAGTGTTTTAGACTGGCAAAATGTCATAGGAACGGCCGGTTTCCTACTGACAGAACTTCTACCTGTTCCTACCTGGGCAAAATCAACATGATGGTTTTTCAGCGACAAAATTTTGTGTGGTTAAGGTAAAAAACTATTGAGTTTGACAAGTGTCACCTAAAGAAAATAAATTTTCCAAATGAAAATTCGGCTTGTTTTTCTCGTGAAATAGTCCAGCCGCATACCACTCAAGAAAAAATTATGTAGGCAAAATTATTGTCTTGGTTTTATTCAAGTTTGTTGCTTTTTGGTAATTTCGCTCATGAAATTTTTGTCATGTCATTCGCGAAATTGCCAAGCAACAAACTTTCATACCAGTCGAAAAATTTGCCGACAAAAATTTTTCTCTTGTGGTATTATACATACATGAAAATACAAATGACTGTCAAATGCGAAATATTTGAAATCACACTTTGAAAAATAAATCCATCAGGTACTTGATGGCATTACCTTCATTTAATAGTAGATATTTGCATTTTATGCACATGATGGATAGATGGCAGTACTGGTATTATATCGAACTTTGTGGATATTTTTAGATTTCCTAGATTATGAATTATTATTTTGCTGATTCTGAAATGGCAAAAATACAACTCTATAATGAAAATAAGAAGAGATGGAACATGTTACGTAAACAATAAATTTATTGTAATAATGGATAGTCGTTTTACTGGTGAAAACGACAGAATATATAGATTTATTTATCGAAAGGCTCGATTAGGTAAATTATATTTGGATAAATTCTTACACTCGAAAAACGCGAAAGTGTGCAAAAAGGCACCTAAAATACTTAGAAATGAGGTTATAATAGTTTTTAATAATTCAAAATGGTTCAAATGGTTACGATAATCAGTTTGGTTAAAATGATAAAAATAGAAAGGACTGCCCTTGTAAAATATCGATATTCCTATTATTTTCCATGAAATAATTGTGATGTCATTCAACACTGAACAAACTGCGTACTGGGTAGGCATTTAGGCAAATTTCGCCATTTTCTTCACGTTAAACTTGCCTATTTTTGCTGGAATTATTGGATTGAAGGCTTCACTGGCTATATATGGGGATCGAAGGACCAAAAATCAATCGCAGGATTTCAATAGTTTCAAAATACGTTCGATAGAATATTCCTACTTTGGGTTGGATGAAATAAAGGTGTCGGTTCAATTTTTCAACCTATTTTAATGATTACAAACGAAGGCAATAATGGTGGACAGACAAGCGTCTCGAAAAGTCGACCAGTCCGATTCTCCCACTTCTGGCTCTCACATCCGCTCCATCGTCACGAGTCGAGGTGAAAGAATATTTTGACAAAGTTTACAGATTTCTAGATCAGCGACTGGTACAATCATTGGCGTAACAAAATCAAGAAAAATAAAAATAAAAATATGACTGTTCAGGGCTGCAACAAGAGAGGAATAGCACAATGGGCCACATGCGCATCTACGTACTATTCTTTTTCTAGGCTACTTTATCAGAATGTATTTCACAATGCAAGACACCGGGACAGGAAACATGCTAGAGGGAATTTGAATGGCCACAGAACCTAAAATGTGTAAAATAAAATAAAAATTGAACCCAAACATTTTATTTCGCGGAGACTGATTTTAAATACTACTCAAAGGTCATATATAAAAAATCCCGATAAAAAATCATATTATGTGCCGAGGTAAAGTGATATTGCCTTCAATGGATCTTTATGACCTCCGCTGCGCATGGGACTCTGAAATGACGCAGTTTGCTCCCTTCTAAAACAAATAGCCATTTTATTGAGACGCTCAGTAAAATTTTTAGACATTATCGATATTTCTATATCTCCCTTTTTTTCGCAGTGCTTGGAAATTTTGCTGACACTGAGAAATCTTCGGAAGCCTTTTATAAGCCGTGAAAAGATCGAGTTAAGTTAAGCCCTAATTAATAATGTAAAAAAAATTGGAGCGGTTTACGCTGTTGTTTAACTCGAACCTTCAATTTTATCATCAATTTTGATGTATCCAGAACAATAATAACAGCCAAAAATCAATATTGATAGTATGAGTTATTGGTAATATCGCTAATGTCATTCGAGATGGGTGAATACTGATTGATTCGCAGGGCCCTATTACGCTTCTGCGCTGGTAAATTTTATGAAATCATGGATGCAAATAGGCTCAGGGCAATATCGGATTTGTACTGTTTGCAATAAAATGTTCTGTGATGCTGATACAAAATAACGTCAACAAAGCATGCTGTTTTTAGAAAACACTTGTTTGTTATCTCAATAACATATTACATTATAGTTAGGAAACATATTTTTCAATTCAAGTGAATTTATTTGTGCGCAAAACTGTCGAAGAAAAACGCCACTCAATTAGAAAAATTTATGTAATTTCCTTTTAAAATAAAAAAATCGGAATCACACAATCCTAAACATATCAACGACCAAATCACGACCTCAATTATTAGATATCATTACAATCAGAGTCCTAATAGCCTCCTCAACACGAAGGTCTACCTCAACGAGATCCAGCTTATTCGTGCCCCTCGGTAAACAGAACGAATGCTGGTCCGAAGCGCGAGTTGTCTAGGGGCGTCATCAGATCGCCTCTCCTCGTACACTAGGACCGGACTTCGGGAGAGAGAGCGCGGAGAAGGTTTCGCCTCCAGTTCTGTTCCTGAGCCCGACATGTTTACGTTGTGCATGTCACGCGGTCCTCCACCCTTACAGGATAGTTCTCAGAAATACAGTAAGTTTGATGTGACATCGGTTTAGATTTAGATATTTGTCATCGTTAGACTCAGACTATGACGATGGCTGATTGTATTTTAGATTTTTTGTTTCCTAAAAGGTAGTATTTTCAATTGTAAATATTTTTACCGGCATGTTTAGTAGGCGTCTCACAATGTAGGTAATGTAATACGCAGATAGTGGCTTTTGGTTTCCATATTTTTTTTTAAGTTTAGTAGGATATGATGCACATCTCTAAAATTTTAAAGCCACATTTTAGCAGTAATGTTATTTTTACGTGATTATTCCTAGAGTTTCTAGGTCAGCAGGTAAAACTGCGTTATCATATTGCTTGAGTTGATAATAAAGAAGGCGGATTTGCTATAAATTAATCACAATACAATCAGACTGAGCTACCTTTCTCCTAAATTATTGTAAACTTCGAGTGACAATATTATTGTATCCAAATCTTCAATCATATGAATCATATTCACCATAAATCACACTTCATTTATTTCATTCAAAAATAGAAGAAAAATTATCCAAATGAAATATGCAAAAGAAACTTTTTCAGGCTACTTAAACTTAGTTTGGAAGTTTTAAATTTATTTGCCGAAAACGTCGAATATCTGAATGCCAAGTAAGCGTCCTCCCTATTTTTGTGAAATTGGAGAGTTTTAAATTGAATTTCGAGAGCATTTTATTATCTTTCCATTGCTTTACGGGCTTAGAACAGGTGAAAGGGGGCGGTTTATATTTAGTTTATATAGCAATCAAAAGTATTCCAAATAATAAAATACAATCTGAAATCTCAAATACACAAATTATTAACACACGAAAAGAGAATTCCGTCATCAGCAAACTAATAAAGCCCAATCACTCCGGATTGCTCGGGCGTCGCACAATGCTTACAGCATTTCATGCTAAATTTGTTAGCTTTGGCTCTCCACTCTCTCAGCCTTTACGGCCCTAATAAGGTTCGCCAGACCCCCAATATATGAGCTCATTTTGATCGTAAGACGACGAAAAGTGCTCGAGTCTGGTTTTAAGAATGGGGACTGTCTCGGTTTTCGTAATTTTCGGTTTCATTTAATAAAAATCAATGGCTGGTATTATATTGTCTCATTATTTGCGAGATTGAGTGGAGTCTGGATATTATAGAATTGGAAATTAAAATGTCGTTTTTTGTTACTGAAGAGACCAAGTGCTGATAATATTAACTATTTGAATCAATTTGACCGATTTTCTTCGTTTCATCCGACTTGCCCAAATTGCTTTGCCCATGCTTTAAAATTTAATGACTTTTCCATTGCTTGCTATGTAATTTCCTCGGTGAAACTACCACCCAACTTTTGCATAGGAACTTTCTCTAATATCTGATAAATATTTCCCATAGTTCTCGAGATCCTGTTCAATTATTTCCAACTTCCTTAATAATGCCCTGGATTATCTTGGATTTCTTCAAGCTTTCAAACTTCCTCATTCCTAGATTTCCACAAATTTTCTCAAAACTATGCTTCCTTATTATGAACTCAATTTCAAAGTGCAACAAGATTCTCTTCTAGGTTATCAAATGCTGCCAAATCTACAAATAACTTGAAGTAGGAATATAAATCACCCAAACAGAAACGTTACTGCTTTAATTTGGAATCACAAGAAGGAACCAGCAACTCAACCATTTTAAAAAATTGCAGACTTTGACCAATAGAAGACAAATATTGAAACCGACCAATGAATAGATTGAAACATTCTAACCCCGGCTCTGACAAAAATTTCACACCCTTATTTTTTGTCTCCCAGACAGCGTCCCCTCTTGAGAATCTATACCCTTATTCAAACCAATAACTGATTTTCAATAATAATGCAGACCAAGGCCACAGTAATGTCTATTCCAAAACAAAAACACATCGAATTACCATAATATCATTAATATGTATTATTTGCTGAGTTATGGAAATGGTAATTTGTATCACAAGTCCGGAAAGTAACTTATCGAAGACGTGTTTAGAATTTACAAGTACGCAAATAAGAAACAAGAGTTATATAGATAATTGATTGTGTTCGAGGAAAATTAAAAATATCAAAAGTTTAAATATTAACACCAAGAGGATTTTCAAACTCCCTACACGTCTAATTAATGAAACCAATACAAACCAGGAACATCCTCTTCCTTTCGCGAGAAACTTTCGTTTGGATCGGTGCCAGCTTTTTCGCTTTCCAGGTTTAGAGTCCGCGAGGGGGAAAAACTGAAATTTCGAACACAATGAATGAAGGAGGAAATTCTATACCGGCTTGTTATACAGGAATAAAACGGATTAAAAGTTAGGCGGCCGAGGCTCAGGATCAACGCGAATTTAATTTACAAAATCTTGTGGAAACTAATTTATGTTTTTGCTTGTGAATGAAAAGAATATTATTGAAATCAGGAAACGGTTCTGGAGATGTAATTAAAAATATAAATAGTGTATAAGTCAAAGAGATACGAAACGGGAATGAGTGGTAAGAAGCAGGAAGATTCAGGTCATCTTAAGAAATTGAAGTTTGTGATACAAAAGTACTCGCAGTTGAATCATTGGAATATCAAATATGAAACAAGCTTTGAAATTTTGTACTCGTTAATTAACAAGCAGGAGCGAGAGGATTATTAGAGGACAATGTTTTATAGAGTTATTAAACGTTGTTAAATCAATCTAATAATTGCTCAATTAAAAAGAAATTGGCATTGGAACATAATTTTTTGTATCCTTAAAGGGTGTATTTTCAATTGTAAATATTTAAACCGGCATGTTCAGTGGGGGTCTCACAAAGTATGTAATTTAATACAGAGATAATTGCTTTCAGTTTCCATAGCTTTTTTTCAATTTAGTAGGGTATGATGCACATATTTAAAATAAATATGTATTTTTTATTTTTTTTTTCAAATTTAAAGCAATATTTTAGCAGTAATAGTATTTTTACTTATTCAAGTGACGTGAGTTTGTCTGGACCTGCTAGTTTAGCCAGTAAACCGTTCTTTTATTGGAAAATTGCTTGAGTTGATAATAAAGAAGGCAAATTCGGTATAGAGTAATTGATACAAACAAAATCAGACTGGGCCACCCAAGCCCTTATTTTTAAACGTTGAGTGTATGCTCAAACTTCAAGATGTAGAGTTGCATGAAGCAAAACACATTCGCAAAAAAAAAATGGGTTAGTTTGCAGTAGTTTTTCTGGTATATTCTAGTACCTAATTTATTTCTTATTGACTCTATCTTCAATCCTAGGGTCGTGCGTTTTTGTAATCTTGATTCTGATCTGTTTTTTTTTTACATATATTTTCTTCTCTCTTCCTCTATTTCTCTCGATCTCTTCATCCCACTAGGTATCCTTCAATTCGACCTACTGCTTTATTTGTAGCTTGATGAACCAAAAATTGGTTTTCACAATTTTTCCATGTAGGTCATGTCAGGTTTTATAACGCCATACGATAGGGAATTTTATCGGCTTTTACGTAAACTGTAACATTGCAAATGTAACTTGTTCTTTTTTCTTTCAAATGAAATTTTAAATTACCTTTAATGTTAACAGTCTGGTGACTAGGTTAAAAAAAAGGTTTCTGCTGCTAATAATATTAGCAATTATTAAACTAGAGGGCACGATTTTCGTTTAAATTTGAAGTACCAGTTTAGTACCAACGCTTTTCGATGACTATTTTTTGAGGGGAAGCTCTGTCTGTTTATCTTGTCCGTTTCGTTTCTCGCCCCTTTCAAATTTTGTCGTTCGTCCTGAAAAAGTCGATTCTAGGCTCAAAACCGCCATCTTCCTGAGACAACCGTGCTCGTAGAAAATAAAATACCTACCTTATCGGCCATCAGGCATTATTTCAACGAAATCAAGTTGCGTGAGGCAATAATCCGTTGATAACCGAAAAAAATTAAATCAAAAGTCTTGTGATAACCATTTTATTCAAGTTTGAATTTCGAACCCTTCGTGGTAAGTCCTTTTTATTTATTTTTTTAAGTAATGGTTGTTCATGGAATGCCTCTATTTCTTAGGGTTTTCTGAGGAGCCGTTTCTCTCAACGAATCCATTCCCAACAAGCCCACATTTTTAAAGACAATCATTTTCGTGGAGCGTGGCATCCCTTCAAATGGATTCCTAGAGGAATCAAGTCCCTCACGTATTGACGCCTGTACCTCCACATTCGACGACAACTGAGAACTTCTAGCCTCTATCTACCTTGATTCAAGGCTAGAATCTGCAGCTTCCATGTACAACTTTTCTCGTCAAGTGCAAATGGATGGCTGGATGGCTATCGTAATTTACCTTTTGTTGGAATGGAGGCTTGTATAAAGTTTCATTAATACCGTTTAATTTTTTTTCTCTTTATTATAAATTTTATGTTCAATTAACATAATTGATTGAACCTTTATTAATATGAAATTTGGATATTTAAAATTTTATTTTCGCTTTCTTGACACCGAGGGTGATGGTGGAATAATTGCTTTTATGGATTTTCGATTGATCGAATTTATCATAGATTTATCATTGCTTAACTTTCAATACTGCCATATTTCAGGAATGTAAATTTTATTATTCATAATCAATAATCTGAACTGAAGTCAAGGTGGGACAACATGCTCTAACTTTAAAATTTTTGAGTAAGTACCTACATCATCGAAAATTGATCAATTTTTAAGTTGGGTCCTATACCTATATATTTGAGGATTTCTATTATATCTCATGACCATTTAACCCAACTTTTGAGTTCATACAGGTGTAAGTTGATTTTATTGAATTTATTTTTCTGGCAGCAGCTGACCATATTTATCCATATATGTATTATTATAATTTTCATTCATTCATTCTTTCTTCCTTAATTTTCTGGAAACTCAAAGCCTTCATTATTTGATTTCAAATTAATAATATGGCCAGCGACTGTTATAGTTATTTATGTATCAAGGGAATGATGAGGGTGTTAATACCCCAGGGCAAAGTTTGCGTCCCGAGGGCCTTCGGCCCGAGAGACACTAATTGCGC